AGTGTTTTACTTATGAAATGCTTAATCGAGCACTTCGAACATTAGATGCCGATGCAATTATTAACATGGGATTTTTTATACATGATCTCCATCAACAAATTCGTCAACTACATGGACAACAACTTCCAAATTATTGTGATCAGCTTTTAGTAGTTTATCGAGGACAAGGTCTGTTAAAAACTGATTTCGACAAACTCAAAAAAACAAAAGGTGGATTGATATCTTTTAACAACTTTTTATCCACTAGTGTGAAACCAGATGTTTCACTCTTTTTCGCCGAGAGTGCATCAGGAAATATCGATATGGTGGGAATACTCTTTATAATGACCATTGATCCTCACGCTTCATCAACACCATTCGCCTCTATTAAGGGGGTTAGTTCTTTCGAGACAGAAGAAGAAATTCTCTTCTCCATGCACACCGTATTTCGTGTGGGTGCAATTACACAAATGAACAATAATGATCAACTTTATCAAGTCGAACTTCAACTGACGACTAATGATGATGAACAGCTACGCAAGCTGACTAAATGTATAAGTGAAGAAGTTGAAGGTGAGACAGGATGGGAACGATTGGGCCGTTTATTAGTCAAAACAGGTCATTTCGATAAGGCTGAAGAACTATGTAAAGTACTATTAGAACAAACATCGAAAGAGGATGAGGAAGCAATGTGTTATAACTATCTTGTATCTATCAAATATTGCCAAGGTGATTACGAACGCGCTATTGAGTATTATGAAAAATCACATAGAATCTGGGAAAAAACACTTTCTGACGATCATCCTTTGTTGGTTATTTCATACAACAACATTGGTGATGTGTATTATAGCATGGGAGACTACTCGAAAGCAATTTCATTTTTCGAAAAAGCACTTGAAATTCGAGAAAAAACTCTTCCTGCAAATCATCATTCCTTCGCCACTTCCTACAACAACATTGGTGCCGTGTATTCTAGCATGGGAGACTACTCGAAAGCAATTTCATTTTATGATAAAGCACTTAAAATTCGAGAAAAAACTCTTCCTAACAATCATCCTGCTTTGGCCACTTCCTACAACAACATTGGTGATGTGTATGATAGCATGAGAGAGTACTCGAAAGCACTTTTACTTTACGAAAAAGCACTAGAAATTCGAGAAAAAACTCTTCCTAACAATCATCCTGGTTTGGCTAATTCCTACAACAACATTGGTTTGCTGTACTCTGAAATGAGAGAACACTCTAAAGCACTTTCATTTCACGACAAAGCACTCGAAATTCAAGAAAAAACTCATCCTAACAATCATCCTGATTTGGCCACTTCCTACAACAACATTGGTGGTGTGTATTATAGCATGGGAGACTACTCGAAAGCAATGTCATTTTTCGAAAAAGCAC